TCTACCGTTTGTTATAACGGATGAAAATAAAGAGCACCTTATCGGTGTGCTGGATGGTTTGGGATGGTATTATTAACTGGACCAAGTGACTACAAGCACTGACATTCCAATGTTTAAAAAGCTCCCCAAGAGCTGGAAAAGTGTGGATCTCGAGAAAATGCAGATTCACATTATTTGAGAAACTGATAAGCTGCCAGAATTTTATCAACATGAATTGACCAAAAAAGTTGCTAGAGAAGACTATCGAGAATTAGTAAAACTTTCAACAATATTCCTTGGCGCAGATACAGAGAAAAAAATTAAGAGTCGACCACCTGGCACCATGATGTATCAAGCCCGATTCAGTAAAAGCTCACATTTACTAACAAGAATAGATATCTGCCTGTTCTTCGTGACAACATACGGGAAACCGTAGTTACAATGCGTTTTAGCGGCAAAAGCGCGTAGATGGGATTTGTGCTTTTCGGAGGCAATGAAGGCTTACGAAAGAATTGACAAAACCATTTCAAAAGCAGCTTTACTAGAGTTTTGCCAACATTTATAGTACTCGACAGATGAGGTATCTGCTTGACGACGACGTAGTTGAGGAAACATTGTTGCTAATTTATGGAAACAAAAACTTTCTGGCCCAATTTATAGTGAATCAGACGAATAAGTTTTTCTTTGTCTTCCTTTACTACTTCGATATAATATGCTAACTGTTAAAATAATCCAGCATAAACTGCAATTCTTCCAATAGATGGCACCGAATACTGTCTTGTTTCGATAGATCTCATACCTCAGATAGAGATTAGTTGATATGCTTTCTTACGTTGTCCTGAGTTGAGGCCAAGCATAGACGGTGCTAGTGAGTTGCTAGAAAGCACAAAAAATCTGACCATGGCAAAAACACTGAGATCAGTTAACGACTGTAAACCGAAAACTTTGGAAAGAAAATTTATTAAATAATGTTTTTTTAATAATATCTAAGAAGTATAACATACAAATGAGAAGTGTTTTATTTGTCGTTTAAGAATTAGGTTTTGACATCCATACATGGTTTCTCTATTAACTTTCAAATTCAAAGTTTGACCGAAAGTCGGCTATTGTTCCCTGATCGCAATAATATTAAGTTTTTGAGCTGTTAGAGTCAAATGAAAAAAAATAGACGATATTCGTATCTCAATTCGAACAAGAATTTCTTTGCCCACATAGACTGTGACACCTTAATGATCATGTTAGAGATTGTATGAAGGACACTAATCTGGGTGGGTGTCTTCAAGCCTTGGTAACATCCTCTTGCATATGTATTAAGTTGCAAATTTGAGTCCATGGCGCTTTAGCTAAAATTGCTCAGAAAACGCAATTACACCGTCACGGGTATGGTGAGTGGGCGTCGTGGAGTCTCCATGTCGCTACCCTCTACCTATCTCCACGTGTACTCATTACGTTGCAGTTTTGAAAGATAATAGTGAATATAATCTGGGATAACGACGAGCAAGCGATATGGCGCTTAGCGGCGGTAACTCTACGCTTATCATCACCTGTGAGAGACCGGTGGCATTGGATAATAGCGAATCAAATTTAAATTGACCAACACGTGTGACAAACAGGTTGGAGATTTAACTTAGCACTTACACTCTGATGAATTTTGCTTGTTAGAAGGGCAGCACATGCGTTAGTTTATTCTCTACGGACAAAAAAAAATATTTCGAGCGTACACATTTTCGACTTGTGAATTTTGTCAAATCTGTTTAGGATCGATTCCGGATCGCTCTTAACGGCGCTCTATTTTAGGCCAAAACGAAAGGTCAGGGCCGCCACAAATTCCTTGATCATAGATTTTGGTCAGTACCCATCTAGCGCTCATTGGACAGTTTCGTCCGCGTAATCGTATTTTCTACATTTTCCCATCTGTCGCAAAATGTAACAATAACTCTGGATGTGTTGATTTTATCACCATCGGTGGAAATCAAAAGCAATACTAAGATAAATTAAAACACTAAGGGACGATTTCACCAACATTAATATTATGGACCAATGGGAAAATACTTTATCGAAATGCAATTTGACAGAAGCTGGCAAAGGTCTGTGAATATTAGTGATTTCTATTGAAATATTGAATAAAATCGTGAAAATTCGACTGTATTATAAACAAGACAACTTTTTGATTCCAGCATGATGCTTTTGTACAGAAAAAACAGGACAACTTTCATGTATTTTGATATATGTTATAGGTTTACATTTAACAATCCGTTATCCCCCTCAGCGAATGGGAATGCGGCAAATAATAGGTCGATTTTCTAGCTGTTAAATTTGGCAGCAGATTTGGACATTTGTTAATGCATGGCACTCTCGAATTTACCAGCTTCAATATACTGAAAGTTATCATTACATACCTGTTGAATAGTGTGGATTTGTCTGTATTTTGCAAGAAAATAGAATATAAAATACATTCCATCCAATCCCTCATCTTCCTTTACGTCACAATAGTAATCATTTATTAATTTATGAGTTAATGAATTTCTTCAAAGCACATTATGTCCTCTCCATCCTAAAACACAGATAATATGTGTAAGACGTATCAATCCCTACATCTCCCTGATGCATAATGCAATTACTATGGACATAGACAAAAATTATGAAAAATGTTTCACAAATAATGTCCTTTTAAGTCCAAAAATCATCAAAACTAGTAATGTTTAATGTTTGTGTTTTTTGACTGGAGGTCGTTGACTGGCGGGGATATCTATCTGTCACTCGAAGGTTGCCAAGTCCCGTGGTGGAGGGTGCGAAATGAATCTTTTACATTTGCTGGTTTTGCATTTTTTTCGTGAAAATTTACTAGGTATCATGATTATAAGCATCTTTGGTAGATTGTTCGATCCGGAATGGGAAAGATCTCCTATTTATGAAAATATTTTTGGTATCATCTAACCGTTGCAATCAGTGCACAAACACTGTGACATATGATTTATAGCATAACCCGCTGCCCTATCAATACAAATTTAACATACAGGTCGCCTAGCCGTGGGGATGCAGTGGTCGGGATGAATATCACGGCAGCAACTGATGATTTGGGCACGTCTGGTAAGAACGTATGAAGTGAAACTCGCTAACTTCACAAATTTGAAGATTTTGTACAATTTCTTTGAAAATGATGAAAGATATGTCTGATTTGGCAGGGTAATGTCGCAGCCAAATGGCAGTCACTCTTTCTGACACAGTCCGGATCGAAAGATGACGATACTCGTGAAATGTATTGATACTTCTAAATATAGGATCCTATCGAACATCCCTACTGTCAAGATGTATAACCCAAGGTACCGACGGAGCTATTTTCCGGCGTCATGGAAATAATTTTTAATTTTCATTTGCAATTTTTCAAGTGTTGTGCAATGATCTTGGGAAAAATGTCACGAATAGTCTGATAAAGCATAGTAGAGTATATTTCAACAGTTGCCGGAACTTACTCCACTGGGACCAGGAGGGTGAAACGGGATATTAATGCACAATCTGGCAACACTGTCGCACCTCACAAAATGGCCGCTTACAACCACACAAGACACCGTGTTGTGATTGAATAGCTTGGAATTAAACCTTCAGAGTATGTTTTGTGACTGGTAGCAAGAGTTGACAGAGCCCGCACATGTGTACTCCTTGAAATGCAATAATCAGCTGTATTCAAATGATGTCTAATATAAATATAACCTAGAATGTGTACTCGTGAAAAAAAAAAATATGGCAAATTTGTAGTTTTGTTTGCAGGTTTTATAGGTTTGCTGGTAGCTTTAAGGAATATATTTGGGAATTTATTAATCGCTGTGAATATAGTGTGGATGTTTCTTCAGTTCCTGAACAACGAAAAATATTCAACTTTATGGATGTATGGATATCAAAAACCTGAATGGTTTTGTGGGAATATCATTCTAAGGTGCCATAATGGTTTTGATGACGGCAAGTAAATGAATGAATGTTTGGAAACGAGCAATATCTTTTGGTAGAGCCTGTCATCAAGTAGGTGCTTAATGGCTATCTGCAAGAGGTTTATAGGAAAAAAAACACCCAGTATCACATATCAATTCAAGAAAATAATATAAACATGAATAAAAAATCAACAATAGTAATTAAAACATGAATTTAATTCAAAAATCAAACATTTCTTAAAATTTTGACTGAATTATATGTAATTTCTTAATATTCAATAAGTTGGTAATGTTTCAGTGATAAGTTGTCATCTCATACTTTGACAATATTTTGTTTTCAACATTTCATAGTTATTGGGTGCTAAAATTTGTTGATTAGAACTTGAAGCTCATTCGCTGTATCTGACGGTCTGTTACCCTATAGGGTGATAACCTTCGCTCTTCAGCCGGCTGCTATCCGTATACATGTATTGATACACTTCTCGAGCTTCTCTCTCGTACATATTGAATTCAAGCCGTCAGAGAAATTTTGTTTTCCCTGTATATGACATTATGTGACTCTAGCGCGGGCTAATGCTTCAAGGGTATGTCTGTATTCAAAAGCGTGCAGCATACCACTTAAATGGAGGTCAAATTCAGAAATGATTTAGCTTTAATGTGAGGTTAAGGATCCAACTTTTAAATTAACGATGTTTTGTGATATTGAAAAGTACATATAATCGAGACCAAGTCCATTCATAGCTTTCTAAGACCAAGGATTAACGCGCCATTAGAAAGTAAACTACAGTAATGGCGGAGGCAAAACTGATTGAAAAGAGAGTACTGCTACGTTGGAATGTCACCTCTCAATCGATGTCGTGGTTACCTAGTGTATCACAAATTTCTCTTCCTGGCAAAAAAACTGTATTAAAGGGTGTCAGACCACTAGTATCGTAAAAACATTAGTTTGCTATTTAAAATACAATGTGTTATCACATCCTTGAACCCATCGTTTACTTTTTGTTACTATATTGGCTTGCTTATGTAAATAAATCATTATAAGCTATAGCTGCGAATACTTTTTATTACTTGAAGTGAATGGAACAATTTTTTTGTGGTAACTCTTCATCTTCCCACAAGATTCTTAAGCTCCGGTTTGGTTTATGACGCTTTAGGTCCGCAAAGCTTCTGGAAACAAATCAATTATTGCTCATTATTATGAAATACTACTAGAATCGTAGATTTCGTAGCCTATTTACTCTCGTCCCGATCACTATGTATTCCCATAATTGAGTAGAAAGGAGCTTCTAAGGTTTTTTGTTGTCACAGTTTTATTAGACAGCAAACGTCTTAACAACTCAACAAATACATTTTAACAGTAATCACCTTTGACTCAACGTCTACGGTTTGTCATTATCTTTGTTCATTTTCCTGTTTCTGTAATGTTCTCCGTAGCTAAATGAAGCTCTGTTCTAAATGGATAAATTACGTGAAGTTCACAATTAGCGAACATCCTGCGACGCTTTATGAGTACTGAGCGAAACGAATAAGGTATGTATGTAGCGTTTGGGTAATTTGCGAAGTCGTCTTCATTAATAAGTCATTTTACCGTATTACATAGACTAAGAAAAGACCAAGACAATTCACAAACAACTCAAGTGGGGAAAGTTCCTAATAGTATATATCAGATACAATGAAGGTAATATAGTAGGAATTTAAATTATATTTATACAATGAACTCAACACAGAAAAAGCTATCAATATTTTTATATATACTATCCAAACATATATAAATCAGCGTAAAATAACTGTAAAAATGCCACGTAACCAAATAAGAAGACAGTCATGGATATCTAAAGGAATTGTAACATCCATCAACAAAAAATATTATTTGTATAATAAGATGAAAAAACAGCCTCATGATATAGAACTTCAAAATGAATATAAACCTCACCAAGACAGACTCGTCACTGTAATAAAATAAGAGAAACTGAAATACCTCAAAGAAGAAGTTTATAAATTTCAGAACAGCTATATGATGATATGGCATTTCGTCAAAAATATCAAAGTAAAAAACATGAAAACGCAAACTTCAATTTGAAAAAGGCAATACCTAACTAACAATTATCACTCCTATTAGAGTTGTAAGAGCGATTATACAGTCTTCCTTACACAGCATTGTATGCTGTAAGAACATTGGCAAAACGCTCTTAGAACAGCTATACAAGCGGAATGGGCACACCTAATAGGACACTTCAGTTATTTAAGAGGTTGTATAAGGGCTGCAGGTAACAGTTATACGTATACAACAAAAGTGTAAACCTCTTACAGCCGCTATAGAACATTTGCGTCAGTGCAAGATTCAGTTTTTGTCAACTATACAACTATTCTGTTACATGATGCTACTTTATTGCAACCAAACTATTTCTTATATGTTGTATAGGTGAAGTGAAGAATATATAACTAACACATTACAGTCATCTTGTTTACTTACATATCGGGCAATGTGAATTTCTTACACGGGAGTATGATAAACTTCTACACTGTGATACTATTGAGTCACTTGCGCAGCAAATTTTATTGTGATTATCGTGCAAAGTAGTTACGCAATTTGTATGAGCTTCGTAGTTGATTCATATTTTAATAATGATCAAAAGTACGTTTAGATTTTTAAGATGAAAAACTGAACTTATCTGCCTTAAATCTTCCACAATTCCTATATTTAGACACAATTACACTAATGTTTATCACTTTATATCTGTAATGTCTAACTGAAACATAATTGATTAATTTTAAATAGAGGAATATATTCTTGCCCAATATGGCGGGTGGTTATGAATACCTAATCATGGCATCGTCCATGTTGCCTTTGGTTATTAGAATACTTTGGTGTTGCCTGCAAGTGTTAAACAACAATTTGACAAATCTCTGAAATGAAACACGGACAGAGTGGAATGATTTATCCAGAATTTGTACCAGATCCTTATCTCGTTTGAACAGTTGATAAAACCTTTTAAACCAATATGCATGTCTTAAAATATTGGTTATGGCATTTTAACTAAAAAGATGACAGCAGAAAGTTAGGTTATGGTGAAGTTACCAAGTATACCAACATATTTAGCGACAAATGTATTCCGAGAACAGCAATTTTGTACTATAAAAGTTGTAATATTGTTGCAGATGTACAGCCTCAACAGTTACTAAACGACAGTTGTATAAGTGCTTCCGTTGGGAGCAATTTGTTGGTTAAAGCAGTAAATGTGCACATCAAAACAACAAGGCTCGGGTCTGTTGTATAAACGTTACCATGGATGTCACACCACAACTATTTTACCGCGCAAGTATGCCGTATAAAATAGTTGTATAAACCTTCAATGGTTCAAAATTTGTCCTATAAGGTGTTGTATAACTATGCTATATAAATATTTTAAACACCTCATTTTAGAGCAAATATGCTGCAGAAAGCAAATTTGCATTCCACACAACATTAAGCTAGCATTTTGGTGTTCAGGCAACAACAATAAAGAGCCTTTACGGCTACAGTTCCTTTACCAAAAGCTTCTAGCACTACTTTGCTAGTTGGGTAGTGAATTAACAAATAATGCTACCGATGCAGCTAATTAGTTCTGCAAATATTTTCCGAAAATTGGTGCAAAGTTACCAGAAAATACAATAAATGAAAAACTGAATTATAGACTAGACTCCAAAACCCATTATATCTGTCATCAACAGATGAACAAGAAATAATGAACTTAATTAATGAATTGAAAGAAAGAAAAACGCCAGGCTTAGACAAAATTAGAGCTTACACATTGAAGAGAATAAACTCTAATATGTGCCTTGTCACTGCACTTTAATATATAACGGTCATGAGCATCTATAAGGTGTTCTTCGTAAGCTTTTTCTAAGCAGTGGTATTTTTCAGCAGATGCTGCTTCTTTCGGTTTAATGATGTACTCGTCGCATGGATAGCTAGTATCATTATATGGCTCCTTGAACGACAAATTAAATTCGGAACTGAATATTTCTGTATACAGTCACTGTTGTAGTGTATCACCCAAGATATCGCCTACTGGATTTGTTCCTTGAATAATGCGATTCTATGCAAGGGAACTTCTGTATGTGCTCCCTGCTGGCATTCCTAAGGTCCTCATTAATCTTATTTCCAGGTTCATGTTTGCCTCTTTTATCAGTTTCGATAGCTCCGCTAGTCTCTTCCCTAGTGCTACACGTACTGATGTTTGAGATAAATATATTCGATGTATTGAGAACAAATATACGACAAACATGGACACGTCTGCGATCAATTGCAAAAAATATTTTAATGAGGATGTTCTTTTTCCTTCACGATCCCCCGTTCTGATACGTGTGCGTTGACCTTGTAGCTCTTGAATAGAGCTGGCTAAATATTGTCTTTTCAGGATATTTTTAAGATCAACAGACCAGAAGTTTGAATGAATCGTTCGACGATGTTCGATAGAGATATTGCTATTACATTTTTTTTCACACATTTTCCACTGCATGGTGGTTTCATTATATTTTCCTTCACCACTCTACCACGTGCTGATATATACATATACTCCTCTCCACCACACTTTCTTTGTTTCCTTACATTTTCCTGCCATAGCTAAGGCTTTGATTTTCTTTTCCTTCCTCTGGTTGTAGTTACGTTCTCTTTAGATTCATCTCCACTGCTGTTGTATTCTTTAGAGTCATCTTTTGTTTCATTCAAGCTTATTTCTGTATCAACTACTCCATCTGCATTCGATGCAGTTTGGTTTTCATTGAAGGTGGAAGTTGTTATGCAACCTGGCTTTCAGATTGGAGGGTTGAGCAACTCAGTAAGAAATTATTGGCATTATGCCCATCTACATACTCTAATAAAATCTTCTGATTGTACATAGAATTCAAGTTTCCTATTCCATTTTTATTGAACATAAGGCTCTCTAAGCATTTGTCCGCAATAGTTATTACGTCATCTTCGCACACTGCTAAGACCTTGATGAATATCAGAATTGTTTTCTGGTCTGTCCTTTAAATACTTGTCTGTATTAGTTACTACATCATCTAGACAAACTGCTAATACAGGGTGACTTTGAAGTTGAGTCATTAATTTTCAGATAATGATTGTAGAAGGAAGATAAACCAAAATATGTGTGTAAAAATAAAAAAAATTAAAAAAAAATTTTACCTTGTTTTATAAAGTATCCTCCCGACAAGTATTTCAGTGCGGACCTGTATTTGATCGTGAGGTCCCCTGTGAGGTCTTAAGTCACCTGATTCACGAGCCCGTTGTTACTACATTAACAAAGGCACGAGGGGTTGGTTGCACTCGATTGGGAAACCGATCCGCATAAACATGTGCCATTTTTTATTTCGTTTGAGCCACGCAACAGACACTATTCACACGCGACTGAAACTGACTGTATGTATAACTGAACTGAATTGTAATCGTAAAAACATCGTTCCAAATTCTTTCGCTTTTTTGTTTCCGATGCGATGAACCGTTGTTGCCAAACACGAACACATGATATTATTGAGACAGGGCGGTACTCAAACTTCCAAAGGGCTATAACTTTGTTACTTTAATTTTACCAGAAAAATGGTAAAGGAAAAAAACATTTCTTTTGATCAGATCTACACACTGTTAAAATAAATGACTCAACTTCGAAGTCACCCTGTATATCTGATTCTGCCTGAAGAAGATCATTATGAGTTGATGGGATGTCTTTAACTGATTTGTTCTCAAACCGGTTTCCTTCTGGAATAAAGGTAATGACTAAACAAAAATAATGAAATTGTAGGGTACTCAATTTTCTCTTATATATTAAGCGTCTAGTAGGTTACAAAGTTTTATGCTGTGTCGAATAAGTTTCACTGACGATACCTACAAAAAATTATTAATTATGTGTGAAGTATTTTTTTCAAAAAGCTTTTTTGTTTTGTTAAAAACGTCTTCAAGTTAAAAAAGAGACCATTGTGTATGAAAATATATAATGCTAATGGTATAAGTGGACCAGAACAAAATAATTATGCAGCATTACGATATCGCGAACCATATTAAATAAAGAAAAAAATTTCGTAATTGAACTTGCTTCTACATTGTAAATCTAACCGTTTCTGAGATTATTGCACTTGGCCATCCTTAGCGTGGGAAACGTGAAGCTTTTCCTGATGCACTTCTGAGATTAATTGAAAATACTAACTTTTAATTGACAGTTATGATTACTAACTTACCGTCGGAAAGTAAGGTTAAGTATGAGAAATTACGATTGAAGTCAGCTACATCGCTTTCGTATACCATAAGTAGCATTTCTTAGCTCTACCTGTCATTATGGTTGACCTATTTTACTAATATTATATCAAAAGTATATTTATCGCAATTAAGTAGCCTTCTAAACTCAACCTCTACAATCAACAATATTCAACAAGTAACTAGAAGTATTAGCCTCGCATATGAACTCAATACCCGATCGCGGGACTGAATACTAAAAGAAGTTCTAATCACTCGGACCAAACAGTATCAAGGGACCTTGCAAAAGTTTGGCTCGTCACCAAATTGGACATAGTATATTTTTAATGACTTGTTTTCTAAGCGGCATCAGATGGGACTTAATACTCAGCGCCAATGGGAAGAGTGGAAAAAATTACCTTGACGTCACCCAAAATCTGAAAAGGTTGAGAAATCTCGAAACTGGAGATACTACAGTGCAAAGTATGTGAATTGACCTAACATACCTTAGTCCAAAAGCTAATAGTTTGCGAGATACAGGGTGGTAAAGTTACAATTTTATTTTCTATGTTCTCTTATTGCTTGAGAAGTATTGCAGATTTTGGCATAAAACTCGGTATAGGGAGTTTTTCTGGTATGAGAACAAGAATCGCATATCAGAATATTCATCAAACGTATACTCCATGATGCTTAACAACTTATTGTCGACTTAAAATTATTCATGAAGGTTAAAGCAATATTATGACAAACATTAAAAACCATAGCAACGTTAGTCAGATATTATTCAAAGCATTTTGATTATTATGATATAAAAATGTTTTATCATCATGGTACAAATAATGCTTGGGAACCTTTAAAAACGAACATCTCGAAAACTATCAGCTTTAGACACTTCTAACAGGTAAATCTATTTCGTTGCGGAAATACGAGAAAATAAAATTTTTCGGTCAGTCATTGTATACAGGGTAGCACAAAACAGTTATGATAAATTATTTACCGAAATAGTGCTGTAAGTGGCGCCCTATAGAAGTTTGGCCACATAAAATAACGGATTCTTGTTTCACATACTAGAAGAATTCCCTATACCGAATTTTATGCCAAAATTTGAAATACTTCTCAAGCAATAAGGAAAAATAGAAATAAAATAGTCACTTGCACACCCTGTATCTCGCAAACTGTCAACGTTTGGAGTGAGGTATCTCTAGTTTCGAGATTTCCAAACCTTTCGCAGTATATACAGGGTGTTCCTTAATGATATGGGAATATTTAAGGGTGTGAATCTACATGAAAAATTAAGGTTAGCTTGCTTTATAAACTATGGTCCAAAAATGTTTCCTCAGGGTGTTGAAGTTTTAGGAAAAAAAGTGGAAATTAATTAATATTTTCAGAACCGCTCCAGATATTTGACCGATATTTAGTTCGTAGTGGAAGTTTTTAAGATTGCATATTTTTCAATGCAAAAATAATTTTCAGCTTTAACAGTGGCGTGCGTACGGGTATTGACTTCGATGTTTTTAAGAAAAAAATGGTACGCCAACGGTTTTTTGCCAGATAAAAATTATTTTTGAATTTCCCGTTCAATTTAAAACACATGTTCTCTCTTGAGTTGCTTTCCTTCGATGCGTCATTTTTGAGTAAAAAAATAAAACCCGTTCTATTGTCTAACTTGCAAAATTTTATTATTAATTTAATTGGAAAAATTAAACACATTAGAGGTAATGAACAACAACAACTGACAACATAAACATAACATTAAAACCAACGAAATGATTACAAAAATTGTTGAAATGGGGCCCCCTTCACTTAGTATGCATGCTTCCGCCGTTACTTCTCATGGAATTGCGTACTCGTTGAAATATCCCTGGAGTGTTTTTTACTCAATCACAAGCTGCAACTATTCTTTCTCCTAATTCGTCAACAGTGTTAATGAGACGAGTGTCTTAAGATAGCCCCACAAAAAGACATCTAAACTGTTGAGGTCTTTGGACCTTGGTGGCCATTCTTGGGGCCCACCGCGGCCAATCCAACGATTTGGATAAACAGTTTTTAAATAATTAGGAACCGCTACACTGAAATGCGCTGGTGCACCATCATGCATGTACCACATATTGTTTCTTATTACTAACGGAACATCATAAAGCAGCAAAGGCAACTGTTGCTGAAGAAAATTGAGGTAAGTCTGTCCGTCAAGTCGTCCCGGTAAGAAGAATGGGCCAATAAATTAGTTGCCAATAATTCCTGCCCATACGTTAACCGAAAATTGGTGTTAGAAATGGGTTTCGGTTACGGCATAGGGATCTTCTTTTGCCCACAAATGATTACTGTGGAAATTCTGAATGGCATTTCGAGAAAAATTAGCTTCGTCCGTGAACAGAATCATTGATTCAAATTGCGGACTTTGTGTAATTTTTTGAAGATATCACTGACAAAAGGTCACACGCCTTGGACATCAATTGGAAGTAATGTATGTACTCTTAAAATATGGTAGGGACGTAACAAAAAATCCACTAAAATTCTCCAAACAATTTGATGGCAAATATTTAAGTGTCTAGCGATATTCCTCGTACTCGTTTCAGGATGTTCTTCGACTTCGTGCAGCACTGCTTCCTCAATTGCAGGTGCTCTCACACTTAGAGGTATACCTTCAGATGTTCCTTTTCCGACAGAACCAGTTTCAACAAGACGACGATAAATATTAGCCGTCTGGCTGTACCTGTTAATCTGTTGTCGAAAAAGAAAGGCCCGATAACTTGTTTGCCAATAACTCGTCTCCAAACATTCAAGCTCATTTATTTTGGAAATCTATTTGCCTAACCCAGTAAGCGTTTTCCGCCGCATAATAGCGCATGTTATGCCTGGTGACAACACGTATCCTGTTAAAAGTTGCCTCATCACTAAATAGAACCTTATCTAGGAAAGTACTGTCTTCACTCACTTTATTTAGCATTATTCTAGTAAACTCCATTCGAGCTGCGAAATCCTAAGGACGAAGGCCTTGATGCAAGGCTAGATGATATGGATAGTACCTATGCTTGTAAATAATCCTTTGGACAGAAGTTCTGCATATATAGTATCAGTTTCTGCTCCAATTTGCCGTGCACTTAAAACCTACACCATATTCACCATTTCTTCTTTAGAAAAATTCATTTTCAAACACGTTTTTATTATAATGCTCACAAAGCTAATTCTGACAGTTTATAACTAATCGACAATTTATTTGTTTCCAAGGATGATGCGATATTTTAGGGAATTAAGCCGTTCCATAAAAGACGTGCTAATAACCGAAAAAATTGCAGTAAAAACCTTTATGGGTCTAGTATCAAAAAAAAAACCTTATAAAAAATTTAATCCAAACTTGCACAAATATACAGGGTAATGCATTTGAATTTTTTGAGAAAAACTACAATTTGCGTTTTAGACCACCCTGTATGAGCAAAAATTAAAATTCGAAACAGCAATAAATAAGATAAAATCTGAGATGTGTATATTTTTGATACAAAATTAAGCACTCCACATTTCAAAATGGCGGATTGAGGGTTTGCTTAATTTGGGGGTTTTTCTAGACAAAATACCTGATATCTCAGTAGCTAATTACCAAAACCCCATAGTATGTTATATCAATCTTCTTCTTTTGAATTGGTTTATCCAAATCTGCAATGAAACTTGAGGCCTGCCATTTAAAAAATCACAGTTTTGATATGCAGGTCAAAATTGGGACACCCTGTATAATTGCCAATATTTTAGGAATGTGCCCTCAAATGTAATGTATAACATGCCATAAATAGATTTTTCCAAAATGTATCTGTTTATGAGTTATATTCCGTCCACACGTGGATGGGCGGTATACATATTATGTATCCCTCTTATGATTATTCAGAAATCCCTTTTACAGGCGTTGCATACATGCAAGCGACCTACTTGAACTATTATTTCTTGTTGTATACATTGTGTACATTGTTTACATTTTATACAAAAGAAACAGGATGTATTCAATTACAGTTATACAGGGTGTTCGTTTGAAAGCTTCTCACCACGGATTTATCGAAAACCACTTATCAAAAGAAAAACACCTAGACATGTCAAAAGATTTGTCAAGGGGGACAACTTTTTAACCAAAAACTACTTCACCCCGTTTCACCCTTTCTCTTAGAAATTTTTAATATCAAGCGCTATGGAGTGATAGCTTGTTTGAAAGTTCTTTATTTTGAGGTTTGATTTTCTTAAATTAGTCGATTCATATTCAAACAAGCTATTACTCGATGACCATGGAGGGAAGAGGGTGAGCAGAGGGCGTCAGGGGGTGAAGTAGTTTTTGTTTAAAAAGTTGTCCCCCTTGATAAATCTTTTGACGTGTCTCGGCGTTTTCTCTTTTAATCAGTGGTTTTCGATAAATCCGTGATGAGAAGTTTTCAAATGAACACCCGGTATACGCGTACACAATGGTGCACTTCACATGACCTATACAAAGCGCCCATCACTGTGCTTGATTTGTTCAGTAAGCTAAGGTTAATAAAAACTTGCTTAAATTGACAGATCCTTTTATGATACATTAATTTATTAACCGTTCGAATGCATTTTGATTACATCTAAATCCCCTTGCTTACAATGGCATTTGTTGAGTAACTATGCTACCAATATTGTATACGAATATAACCGTTACCTAGTGGTTTCTTCAGTACGCAAAAATCTATATTGCTGTTCCGTATATTAAGTCATATAAATAAAGTTTACCTCCAAATTTCAATTTATTGGGTGCTAAGACTTCTCAGTCGTTTTTTGCTTTCATGCTTATAAAGTGGAAAAAAGGACACCTTTTTTCTTCAGTAATTAAGAAATTCATGAGAGTTATCGGGCATATCAATCAGCTATAAATTTTCTAAGCCCTAAATTTAAAAATAATCAGACTCGAAGCGAACTTCGGAAAGTTCAAAGATAAAAAGTTTAAAAATG